ATGTGTGGAGCAGCTGGTGGGTTATTATGCATGTCTGTGTGTTACTGTAGATTAAAGTAGTTTGAAGGACAGTAGGACTACAGAGTTATATTGGAACACTTCCCAACATTTAACGTGCTTCAACGTGAAAATCCCCCTCAGTTTTTTATAAAAAATGAAACTCTCCTTGCACTATAATAACTAGATTCAATCTTAGGTTATGCTAAACTATAATTATTTAAACTGCTTGGCTCTTAGCTCAGTCAGACTATGCATGTCAACCAGACCTTTCGATTCACTTTTGGTGCATGTGGAGTTTCGTTTGGTTTCTTTTGGTGTTTCCGTTTTGCATCCAGACCACAAAAAGGTCACAGATGGATTGCGAACAGATTGTGGTTGGCATGTCTGACAAAAAAGTATCATGACACGTGGTTGGTGGATAAAAATGACAATTTTGGTCACAACATTTAAAATAGCAAGCAAAAGATCGTGTGGTGTTGAGTTCCTATGTGCAGTCATATAAATATGATCAACTCATATAAAAGTAAAAAAATCTGCCAGAAAACACTCAACCTTTACCTGATTATAATGAGTAAGGGAAACAATGTCAGGTACAAAGTGTGGTCATTTTGTTTGTGTTCATTATACCTCTACATCTATCACAGATATCCTAAAAAGTGCCATAAATTAATGGCACTAATGCATTTTTGTGTCACCTGACTGTGAGGAAGAATTAAGAATTAAAAGAGATAAAGGACACATTTTGGGGAAATATATATTAAAAGTGAAATCTATATACAGCAGTGCAGATGTGAAAGATAATAAATAGATAAATAAATAAGTAGATAGACCAGCTTGTGAGTTGTACATGGACAGTAGTGGAAATGACCAACGGTAGCAGGTATGACAGTAATGCAAATGGTTGCAGTAAAGTGCCAAAGACGGTCAACAGCATTTAAGACGTGAATGTAACTTGTGAGAGTGTGTTACAGTACAGGGGTATGAGCTTAAATTATTGAAAAACAAAGCCTACACTTAAAAAAAAACAACAACAACCCAAGAACATGCACAGTTGTGTAAAACAATGTTTTCAGAGGATTCTTGACTTATACTTGATTAAAAAAACTATGTACGCCCCCATGATTATAGAACCACCTTTAGCAGCAACAAATTAAGTCATTATTTTCAGTATGACTTTATCAGTCTACTTTATCTGCTGTGGAGGAATTTTGGCCCGCGTGTCTTTGCTATGTTGCTTTATTTTATGGAGGTTTGCAGGCATTCGCCTATGCACAGCTCTCTTAAGATCCTGCCATAAGATTCAGCCATTCTGTGTAGATTTGCTACTTTGTTCTGTTGTATCACCCAATTGCAAACTCAGTAAATATGGTCACATTAATTTGTTTAAAGTTACTGTATAAAATGTGATTTAAGAAATTGTAGCTAGGCTTTTAAGCAGTATTACATTCTTTCCATGCAAAAGCTCTGTGTATATGCGGCTTCTGATTAGTAATTGGACACTTAATTAATTTGTTGTCAATGAAAACAGAGTATATTGACTGCTACAGATGACTTCTTAGGAGATAAGCCTTTTTTTAATGTCTTCATTTATTAATGTATATTTTAATTTTCAAATAATGAACATGCACCTGTATGAAGATTCAAATAGCGTTAATAGAGTTTTTGAATCTTTCCAACTTTACTGAAATTGCGATTCTGTGATCCATACTAGAATAATTATATATATGGTTCAACCCACATTTACTGATTCCTTTTCATTTCAATGCCTATTTTGCAGCTAATTCATTACGCATCAAACTTAAGGCTGGACAGAATTTGTTTCTAGAGCATCGTACTGAAAAAAAAAAAGCCATACAATCGATAGCTGCACTCATCTCCACTTATAGGTTGCAATGAAAACACTGCTAACATGAAAAATGATAGACATACACTTAAAACACTGAAATTTGTCTTTAGTTATGTAAAGCAGTACAGGCTTGCCTTGGGATTCCTGAGCACTGATTTCTGGGAGGTTATTTTGTTTTGCTTTTTGCACACTCAGGGTCAGATGGAGAAGGTCGTGGGGTAGTTATAGCCCTCAGGTTGTATATTCCCAGTGTGTGAGGACTCCCTTTCAATCTGGTTGCCAAGCTGTGTTGGTATTAAATGTGTATATTGACTGTATCTTATGATCTGGCAGCTAGGATAACACAAACTATGGATGTATGTATTGCAATTTTTCACAACAGGAGGGTGCGGGACTTAAAAACATAAAAATATTGGGGAAATCTGGGTGGTGTGCTTTGATGTGACTTGTGCATAGTTTTGACATTTCTCCTCTTAATTGCTCAATTTAAGCAAAAATACCTGCAGTACACATTTCCAGGGTTTTTACTGGCTCGGATTGGGCCTTTTTGTAGGGTTGGGGGATGCACATAAGCGCAACTGGTCTGCATATAACTAAGTTTAATTAGTCTTATCAGAAGTCTGTACATTTTTTTTTATTTCTGGCCATTTGATAAGCAAAATTGTACTTTCAAATCATAATGAAAAATCCTACTGTTTCTTTGGTAGATTCTATAATTTTTATATACAGGAAAAACACAGATTTCTACAAAAGGTATTTGCCTATTTTCACATCTTACACTTCAACAATACATGCAGCTACTTCGGCTGTACATCTGTAAAACATAAACACAGCTGGCATGTATTAATTTGCTGTAGTGTGATTGCTTATTCTATTATTTTGGTGCACCATTGTTTTATTGTTTGTTACATCCTGTTCTCTGCTCAGCCTATTCTTGGGTGTAATCAAACGTTTCATCCAACTAAAAGCTGCCCTTAGCTGGATTGCTGCAATGTATACACAGTCAGTTTAAAGTTTGTCAGCTGTAGAGTAAAGTCAGGTACTTTCCAGGCTGTCTGTCAGTCAAGATCAAGGCGACGATAGATTCGGAGAGAAGAGGAAGTGCAAAGAGAAGTTGTTTGAAAAGGTGAAAGTTCCACTGTGCTAAAAATAGCTTGCTTTTCGATGCATTTATGCCTGCTTGCAGCGCATTTGTGGCCTTTTTCTTCACTATAAACTATCATATAAATATCAGCACATCTTTAAAGCTGCATTAAGCAATATCCACCTATTGCTTTTCAATCAGGTCGTAGGATTGGTTCAGTGAAGCTTAACCAGTGCACCTGCTCTTGCAAAAGGAAGTGTATAACCAGCTGACTCAAGCCGGCTTTACACTTTCTGTGTAGCGCTAAATGACGGAGAGGCGAAGTAGCTGAAGAACGGCGAGCACTTATAGCAACCCAAAGACATCCAGATACTTTTCTCAAGAGTCTGTGGACCAAACCAGGGCTGAAATGAATTTGCATTCAACATGTGGCCAAAAAGATGACTGCAAACCCAGATTCCTCTGTTTCTGCTGAATGTGTAAGTAGTCAGTTGTTTGCTTAAAAGTTAGGAGCTGGTTTAGTGTTTTCTTTATTGTTTAATGCAGCTTTAATTTCATATTTGGGTTAAAATGATAAATGTTAAAGGCCACGTGCTCACATCAAGGGCACGTCATGGTTCACAGGATAGACAATGGTGTGCTAACTTTTTTTTAATTTAATTTAATTTTTTATCATTTTCAGCTTGTTTAATTCATACCACGTGTTTTGTTCACATCTTTTTAATTCATTTTAGCTAATGTATTATTATCAGTAGATATCCACAATTTTTAATATGCTTTTTATAGTAATACACAAATGTATTATTTCAAATAGCAAGTTTCACACTAAAGTCAACCACTTTGACCAAAGTGGTTGACTTTAGTGGATTGGCTTGATTTATGTAGTGTGAGTTTGATGTGTTTGTTGTAATTAATTAAGTCTATTAAACACTATATTTATGAATAGTTCTCCCTTTAGCATTTGATTTAATTTTAATAAGTGCTAACGAAGTATTATGAGTAATCTTTAAAGCATTTTTTTTTACTTTTATAACTCTAGTTTTGATTCTAACTCTGTAAACAAATATAAAGTGCTACCCTGTCACTATATGGAGTCTGGAGACCCTGCTTGATCCCACATTAAGTCTAAGAACCTGGTGGTCTATAAATGTAGATAACTCTTTACTGTTATTTTACAAAAGGGCAACAGCATACATTTAAAGCAAAATAGTACATTTTAGCTATTATGTATGCTGTAAGGCCATCAGAAATGTAACTTTGGATTACAACCTTGTTTCTGTTTGACTGCAAGTGTTAAAAGTGTGTGCTGGAGTATTTTAATGTGTCCCAAGGCCCTTTTAGTCACCTTTTTGCGTTATCTGACTTTTACAGGCCGCCTCAGCCGCTCATTACAGCTTTTGCATGCCTGTTAGCGTAAGCTAGAGTTAGCGTAGCATTTGAGTTTGATATTCACCTCTGGCTCTGCACTTTTTAACCAACGATCTATAAAATCTTTTAGCAGCACACAAACACACACATATTAAAAAAAAAAACCCTGCTGTGTCCCCTGGTTTAGCATTATTAAAGCTGGTCAGCTAATGGATTAGCCCCTGAACTAGAGGCAGAAGATTGTTTGAGTTCATAATTCACGAGTATTGCCATATTGATATTTTGCAGTGTAAATTCATTTTAAATTTGTGCTTAATATTAGGCATGCATCTGTAAATATATATACATTTAAACTTGTAGGAGCAGTTAGGATCATTTAGCACTGTTATTCACATCAGTACAGCCCCCCCCATCGTCACCTCAAAGGTGTGTGTGTGTTTGTGTGTGTTTTAATGGTACCTGGGGGTGTTTATTACAGTGATCCTGTGCAGATGCCCTCTGTAGACTAATATGTGTGTGCAGTTTTGAAGTAGCTCTTTGACTGTGTGTTTTTAGGCATTTGTTTTATGTGTGGGTATAGAGCTTGCACGTGTGTGTGTGTGTGTGTGTATGATTATTATGTCTGTGGAACCCTTTGATGGGTGTAGACGAGGGCGTTCAACAGTTTTCTCATACCTAGACTGTGCACTGTGTGTTTCCCAGGAGATGGCAACCTCTGACCCCTGTGCAAACGCCCCCCCAACTCCGCCTGAGGAGCCGGCGCCTTCACCCTCCCCTCGCAAGAAGCGCGGGCGTCGGAAACAAGAGCCAGCGGAGAGGAATAAGGGTACAGCTTTAATGCTCTTTGCCCATATATGATTATTACCTTAGATTGAACAGCATTTGGAAAAGTTCTGCTAATTTTCTTTCAGTATAAAAACTTTAAACAGTTTATTTACAACAACAAATGTTATCTTTTGTGTAATTCATTTATCTAAAACTTTACCTTTCAAAGAACTTCCATGTTGCAGCTTTTAAGGGAATGGTAATTGTACATAAGTACACTGGGGCAAAGTGATGAAAACCACGTCTTTACATCCTCATTAAATCTCTCGTTAAACCTGTACAAATGAGCCATTTCCTGTAACTTTTTTTCCCCTGCAGACGAGCCAGATGACAGAAACTGCGACTCCCCCAGAGAGGTGAGAAAACAAGTGTCTGCAGCAATTTTGCATGTTTTCTACATGGTTAAATCAATCACTCTCATGGTATACGCAATATATAACAAGCTTTTTGTGTACATGCAGGGAGAGACTGGAAGGCTGCGGAGAAGGCCAGTCCCCAGAGTAACTTTTCAGGCTGGAGATCCATACTATATCAGCAGGAGACAGAGAGAAGAATGGCTCAGCCGCTGGAAGATGGAGGTGAGCAACGGAAAAGCTCGTATTTACACTGATATACGTTTATTTAGGAGCCCAGTTAGAGCAAATATGCTCCTTAAATATTTTTGATGGAACTTCTTGTCCTATATATTGTAAAAGTTTTACAGGTGGACCAAGAAGATTTATAAACTTTTGAACTGGTTTTATAGATGTGGGATGCCCTTTTAAAGCAACCAAACTACAGTGGAAATTAGCTGTGGTTCGCTTTGTGCGATGCTGAGTAATCCAGAGAAAGAGGGAAATCCCCTTTAGATATTAAATCAACCTTGACAGAACTGCGTGCTGAGTAATATTGCTCTGAGTGTTGTCACGATTTACAGTCTCACTTTATATGTTGGGGATATGAACTCCATGTGTTCTGTGTCTGTTTAACTTTTACAACCCCAATTCCCAAAAAGTTGGGATGCTGGGTAAAATGTAAATATTATGATTTTCAAATCTCATAAACCTATATTGTATTTACAGTAGAACATAGAAAACATATCAAAGTCATTTTGAATTTGATTGCAGTAACACGTCTCAAAAAAATTAAGCCAAGGCCCGTGTAGCATCCCCTCTTCTTTTAACAGCAGTCCATAAACATCTGGGACTGAAGAGACCAGCTGCTAGACTATTTGAAAGGAATGTTGTCTCATACTTGTCTCATATAGGATTCTAGCTGCTCAACAGTCCTCTGGCTTCTTTATTGTATTTTTTCATTTCATGATATGCCAGATGTCTCCAGCTGGTTAAAGGTCTGGACTACAGGCAGACAGTTCAGCACTCTTTGAGAAACTAAGCCATGCTGTTGTAGCTGCAATATGTGGTATAGCATTGTCTTGCTGAAGCATCCAAAGCCTTTCTGAAAAAAGTCTTTGGATGGGAGCATTTGTTGCTCTAAAACCTGTATATGTTTTTCTGCACTGATGCTGCCTTTCTGGATGTTCTTCTCCCATCGTATCGTATCGTATCGTACCGTACCGTACCGTATCGTACCGTATCGTATTGTATCGTATCGCATCGTATCGTATCATCAGAAATGCAGAATTTTGAACTGATTGCTAAAAATAAGCTGGATGCTTCCTCTCCTTTTTAGTCTGGCGGTTCCAGTGTCCATAATTACCAATAAGAATTTCAAATTTGACCACAGAACAGTTTCCCACTTCATCTCAGTATATTCTAGATGAACTTTGGCTCAGAGAAGATGCCATTGTTTCTGAATCATGTTCACACATAGCATCTTCTTCATGTGATAGAGATGTAATATGAATTTCTGGATGGCACGGTTCCTGAGCTCATGCAGTGATTTCCATGATACAATCAAACCCGTTTTAATGCAATGTGGCCTCAGGGCTCAGCTTTGTACCTCGTGCACATAGATCGCTCCAAGTTGCTGAATCTTTTGATGATCTTTTGATGATTTGATGATAAGATGCTCTTTTTTATATACAATCATATTACTGATAATTAGCCTATTTAATTCAACATGTTCCTGTAGCTGTTTCTTTTTAGTACCTCTGACTTTTCATCCTTTTTTTTTTGCTCTGTTTCAGCTTTTGAGATATGTTGCAGCCATCTAATTCAAAATGAGCTAAATTCTTTTCAAAAGATAGTAGAGTGTTATAAAGTGTTTAATATTTGGTATGTTTTCTATGTTCTACTATGAATAAAATATGGGTTTATGAGAATTGCAGATCGTATGAATTCTGCCTTTATTTACATTTTGCACAGCGTTCCAATTGATTTTGGAATTGGGGCTTTATTTTACTCAAATAAAAATGAGAGAAAAGTCCAAAGATTTCCTGTGACTGTTTTTTTTTTCATTACGGCAAGGATTCCTTTAGCTGACTTCACCCACATGGCACACTCTGACATCCTTTACCTTCTCTTACACATCTTTTGCTGTTACTGATGCTGCCTACACCTGGCATCCACCTGTAGGCTCTTTCACTGCCATATGTTTCATTGAGGGGGACGTTATTAATGCTTCCTTGAGGGGAGCATCAAGGTCAGAGGTTAGATTCAAATCATAAATGTACATGTGTTATGCACCAGACGGTGAAGAATAAGAATCGGTTGGGACTTCTGGTAAAAACTTCAGGGCGCTGGCAAGATGGACTTTTGGCCATTTACAATAGAAATGTGCTTAGAAAGGCTCATTCTATTATTAATTTTGTGAACCATCCACTTCACAGTGAGTTTGAGTTGTTGCCTTCCGGCCGCCATTTTAGAGTACCTCCGAGGAGGACTAAAAGACTCCAGGTCTCTTTTATCCCTACTGCGTCTTGTCTCCTTAATGGCAAATAATTGTCCTTGAATTTTCTATCATTATTATTGTTATTATTGTTTTATAGTATTGTTCTGTTTGTTCTTATCCTCCTGCTGCTAAACTAATTTCCCCTTGTGGGACAATAAAGAAATTGAATTGAATTGAATTATTTGGGTAACCTGAGATATAAAACAAGAATTCAGGGTATCTGCAGGTCTGAAAGGTCTTAAAAATGTCAATCTTCAAACACTACAAGTTTCTAGAAAGTCTTAAATTTTCTGCAGCTCCCTGTTTTTTGGTTTTTTGATTTCAGCCAAACCTTTCTTTGGACCTGAGGGCAAAAACTGCACCTAATAGTCATAGACAGCCAGATGTTAGTGGTCTAGTCCGACATTCACTCACAAAGCCAGAAATATTGATTATATTAGAATAGAATAGAATAGAATAGAATAGAATAGAATAGAATTCAACTTTATTGTCATTGCACATGCACAGGTGCAGGGCAACGAAATGCAGTTTGCATCCATCCAGAAGTGCTTTAGTGATATAGATATATTACAATATAGCAATAATATAGATATGTAAGTATATTACAGAAATGGGTCTATTATGGTATGTTATAATGTACACGGTATGAAGTATGTTGTGAATATTCTATAACTATAGGTATGTACAGGCTGTAGTGAGTACAAGCTATGTACAGGATATGAACAGGATATAAATATGAAAAACTATACAGAATATGAAATAAATAACTTTACAGAAATCTGAGATATACAGTTATACAGAAATGGGAACTATTTATTATTATTGTGATAAAAGCAAATCCACATGTTTTGGGGCGTGTTTGGGGTTTCTTTGTGGCCTTTCATGATCAACACCATGTGACTGACGGTTTACTTCATTATACAATCCTTGTGATTGGACAGCACACAACAGACACTCCAAAGACACAGACTGCAATTACCTGACTTCCATTATTTCAGTAAAAACAATGCTTTTATGCCATTTCCGTTTATACTGGGGGGCCTGCTTGTTAGTACCGCCAAACCTATCACTTCTCAGACACCCAGTGTCACCATTAAAAACCTGTGGTGCAGACACATCAGAATTCAGTGGGGTAAGAAATTATCTCCAGAATCAGAAGTCATGAGTCTGACTCTTCCTTGTGGCTGGTTATTTATTCACAAATGTCATTTTCATCTCTCAAGCAAAAGTGTTTTGTTTCTATCATTTTGTTCAAATTAGTAAAATTGTAAGACAAAACCTCCTGTGTCCAAATCAAGCCACACAGGCCAAATCTGGCCTTCTGGAATTTTAATCCAGCCCACATATCACTCTAGGTTCTTGATCAATTTCAGCCTTTCTAGTTGTAGTTGCAGTCTGCACAGCAGCATGCGCCCCATCCAAACTAAACAGAGAAGTACACACCTGCAAGTAAAACTAACAAAAGGCTCAGCCTGATAGGGATCAAATGGTTTGAGATCTTCTACTTCTCCTGACTAAATGTTTTAAAGCCTAATTCATGGACTGGTTAAGTGTTACATATTGAACAAAAGGTTGTGTGCAGCATACAAGTTCAAATAGTAGCTAACTGTTCAATTAAATTGGCTACACTTGGCTTTAAAATGCACCTTGATCAGTCAGATTAGTGCCATAAGTGTAAATGTTGCGATTCAGTCACTGGTGGTCTGGGATACATTTGGCCTCACACATTTTACTGTGTAAAAGCAAAAGTTTTCCAATGTGTCCCCAGCAAAAACATAACAGGAAAATATTTTATCAATAAGGGACTTTATTTGGTCCTTTTTGCAAATTGCAAGTGTGTGTCATTCCAGTCTAAACAGTTGGAAAAGCCTTCTTGAAACGTTTTAGGGTTTTTTTGTGCCAACGCTTCCGGAACAAATCTGGTGCTTTATTGGCAACAGATGGCTGTGTGAGGCTTTCTGCCTTTCTAGAGGAGGTGAGGTAGACAGTAATGATTTCTGAACACCTTGGATGCACATGGTAGACACTGGTATCAATACCAGTGGCCCTCAGCTGTCCTCTCATGACATTGGCCAAGGTGTGTGTGTGTGTGTATTTATATTGAAGTTTTGTGTTCTTTTAGGTTAGTTTAGTTTTGTTTGTGTTCTTTGTAGAGGTTCTTGTCCAGCTACATTAACTGAGATTACACCTGCAACTGCTAGCAAGTATGAGAAATGGATCTTTGTAAATTCACTTACCTCCAAATAATTGTTTAGTTTTTTTTTCAGCCAAAACCTTTCAGCCAGTTTGACACTTAAAATTGTATAAAAATGTCTTTAAAATCATAATGTTACACAAACCCTGCACAGTATTTAAATAATACTGTAAGAATAACAATAATTAGCTTATTACATTCAACTGAGCTTTGATTGGAACAAGTGTTGTCTGAGAGCTCTTTACTGTGATTTGCTTTTATTCTGCCTCGTTTGTCCAGTGTTAGCAATTTCTTATACTTGTTGGAACTTGTCGTAAGTGTGGGGTGGACATTTGTCTGTTTTGGGTCAAAACACTGACATCTGGAAAGATTTTTTTCTTGTCAGCATTCAGTGTGTCATTATGTTATTTAACTTGACCTCTTTGGGCTTTCTGTTCGGCCTTCATCACTTTACTGTGTTTGCAGTCACCCTGCTCTGCTCTGCAGAGTTTGTTTGTTTACACTGGAGGGGAGTGGACTTCCCCTCCACGACTTGGCTTGTGGAAGATGACC